TGTAAAAGAGTCTGTGTATAAAAGCGTCTGTGTGTTAAAGTGTTTTCGTGTAAAAGTCTCTGTGTGCAAATGCGTCTGTGTGTGTGTGCATGAAAAACGTCTCTGTGTGAAAGCGTCTGTGTGTAAAAGTGTTTATGTGTAAAAGATTCTGTGTGTAAAAGTGTCTCTGTATAAAAGCGTCGCGTTTCTTCGCGTTCACGGAATGATGGTGCCGCGCCTTTGCCCGCAATGTGTGTGGGAATTACCATAATAAAATGAGATAGCACATGTCATTCGCAGACTCATGGCACTGAGCCTCCTGTGCACTTTTGTTGCTCACATTACATTTCTTCTACCCCCCCCCTTTCATTCTCTCTCTCTATCTCTTGCTTTCTCTTTCTCTCTCTCTCTCTCTCTCTCTCTCTCTCTCTTTATCTCTGCCCCCTCTTTCTCTCTGTGGTTGCAAGACACATGTCATCTGATGCCCTTTACCAAATATTCTCTTCTTGATCAATCTTACTTTTTCACACCATATCTTTCACACTATTCACCGACTATCTTTTACGACTACCATCCTCAGAGCTGCTTGAAAAACATCTTTTTCGCTCTCGGGCCAACCGTCGTCTAGTTTTCATGATGATCCAGGCAGCATTAGAAACTTCTGATTGGTTCTTAGGGGTGGCGTTTTGTGATCCCAGTAATGATCCCATTTCCGATGATGCTCCGAAGCCAACGTCGTTTTCTACGTCCTGGGTGCTGTATGGACTTCCACTATATCGCGCCTCTCCATGCAATGTGGGGTCCTGAAGATAGCTAAGTTGGTTTATAGCTTCGATAACAAGGCTTTATTCAATTAGATATTTGCAGTTGAGCGGGTGAAACTATATCATAGGCCAACTTATAGCTGTTAAAAGTTGCGGGCGGATTATCCAGCAGAGTAGTCCACTTGGGGGACTTCCGATCACGGCTATATGGGTACCTGCAGGACTGGGATGGGCGCATCACCCAGCCCCTGGTGGACAAAATCCTGGGCGAGGCGGTGATTTTTGTGGTGAAATGGTGGGTGAAGATGGGATACGTAAGCATATAATTACATGGTCATAAAGTGTTTATATATGTTTATAGAGAGAGAGAGATTCATTTGTTGCATTCCGGTATGTGTACACATTTAGCATGTCTATGTTCATGTACTGTAATTATGTTTATATAAGTATATTTAATTATGCATGCCTCTATTTAGTGATTAACGACACTGTTTTCAAACGTCTTTGGCCCTCATCGCTTGATGCGCTATCCAGCACTGCTGGTGGGTAGCACTGCGCCCAGAAGAGAAGGTTGCAGAAGATGCTGCCGTGACTGACACTGAATCAACCGCAGCTCCTGACCAGGCACACTCTAAGAAGACCGTCAGGGAACGATTCCAAGCATCTGACCGGCCAAGTGTCAAACTGCGTTACGGTCAATGCTTTGGGAGCAGGATAAATGCATCGGAGTGTGAAGGTGGAGGGGCCTGACGGCGTCAAGGTGCAGATCCGCAGGTTGTTGCGGAGCTCTGGGCCAAACACATGAACGGAACTGACAGCTAATTACACACTTTCACCACTGAGCCGGCTACATTGCCCTCTGTGTGCTGCCGTGGTTGGCCACTTTTGTGGCTTGCTGTGCGTGCCCTTCCATGATCTGGAGGATCTACAGGGGAACTGCTTTCCAAAAAGCTGGTTCTGAGGTGCTGGAAGGATCAGACAAGGAACCAGTTCCACGGCTTAATAGACTCATCTAATGTCTTATGTAGTTGAACATCCGTTGACCAGACTGAGCCTAGTTGGTTATGGTGTTGGCCAGGTTGTATTGGCCTTGAAGACCTACGTTTTTCTGGTCCCGATGGCGCCGTCGACCTGTGCAATTGTCTTGTCTCCCCAGATGCTACTTTCTGGGCTTGTGATATTTGTGGCCATAGGGGTGAAAGCGACGCAGGGAAATGCTCTCCTCATGCCGGAGGCCATGTGTCCACAAGGGCTGACCAAGGTGTTGAGCACTGAGATTAGGTTCCTCCTTGCCCTGCTGGCGCCCTCTTTGCTGCTTGTGTGCTTCGGAATACTACAGTTGTTTGCTGTTCCATGGCTGTGCACAAAGCTTTGACTGATCCGAATTCGGCGGGTTGTTCCTCTTGCTACAGCTTTTGTGTGGAGGTCCACTCATGCTGGTGTTTGTCTCTCTTCCTCACTTCCCTTTCCTGATCAACTCGCACATCCTAGCCAGAATCGTAAAACGGCATGTGCGCACAGTGACATACAGTGACTACGAAAGTTGAAGGCATTCACTACTTTGAAAAGCAGAAGGATGGAGAAGGGATTAAGCAGCTCCAGCTCAAGTTCAAGGAAGTACACAAGTGCCCGTGAATGTCCTCCCAAGTTTGGAGTGCATCGCCCTGCCAACTTTCGGCTTCGCAGCTTGCAGTTGATGTTGGGGTTGGGCATTCATGACAATGGTGGCACTTGTGAGTGGTCATGTTCAAGACATGGCTGAGATGAAGTAGTGGATGAGGGTGGCTAGTCTCCTTGTGAGAACCCTTGTTTTGTTGCCATTTGGAGTCATTTGCTTGTTGCCTCCAGCCTCCGTATCGGATGCCTTCGACCAGCTGCTTGATTCACTGAATCGCCTGAGCGCTCTCAAGGGCATGGAAGATGACCCCCAGATCTGATTCAATCGGGGTAAAGCTTGGGCTTCGTCTACTTTGGGACAGTCATCAACGGTTCATCAGGCTCTCTTCCTGAAGATCGCAACGTACCGTTGCTCTTCTCCTACTACAAGGTGCTGGACTCCTCTTCCAATGCCCGAAGTTTGCTCTCTGAAGTGCCTCACTGACATAGATATGGCTGCGCATGAAAAATGAGAGACGTGATCTCCTTGTCTTTGAGTGCTGGATTTGGAAAAGGGCCACCATTTTGGAAGAAGTTCAACCCATTTTCAACCCATTTTGGACATCAGAAGCCACATCCAATCCTTTATTGCCAGCAGAGGACGTGGATTCCAAGCCACTTCTCCATCCACAGATTTGGTCAAAAAGCGTTTTCAACAACGACTTTGATTCCTTTTTCCATTCCCGTTCTAAAAACACATAAGCAATGTATGTATATATATATATATTATTTTGTTTCGCCTGAGTTTCTGCTTAGATCAGCATTCTTGTGCGTTGAACCGCATTTTTTCTTGGTGGCATGCTCATTGTCAATGTCTACGGTCTACGGTTAAACATGTTAAATTCGTTGTATTAAACGGTGACATCCTCATTTTGTTCATGACAAGCAGGATCTTCCGCACTGGAGCCAGCAGCAACCCACCAGCCAGGCGCGGAGCAAAGATCCAGCCGAAGTGAAGCTGGCGCGCGAGTACTGCGACCTGCTGCGAGGCGAGTCCAGTCACAATGAAGCATTCACAAAAGCTGCAGTGGTTACTGTAGATAACTGTTGTTTATGGATTTGGACATATTGTTTGTATGCGTTTGTACTGTGAAAACATATGAAATATATATATATAATACCGGCTAAGGGAGTTGATAACCATGGTGACCATCCACTTGTAATTACTACGGTAAATAGACTGTGACTGTGCAAAAAATGGTGCCCTAATTTATCAAACGACTGTTGTTTTCTTAGTAGGTTAGTTGGTGGTTGAACGTGGATATACCTCAAACCGATTTGGAGTGAGGAGTGCCATTGGGTTGGGTGGGGATGGTACAGACTCCATTCAGTTAGCCAAACATCAATATCCAATCGCCAATCAAAATTACCCTCTGGTAAACTAACATAACAATGGAAAATCACCATTTTTTCAAGGGTAAATCAACTATAAATGGCCATGTTCAATAGCTATGTTAAATTACCAGGGGGTAACAAATAATGTTCTTATCAAAGCTAAGCGAATGAAACAGCATGAGTTAGCAACGAATCACATGATCAACGCGTCAATCACACATGAATCTATCCTGAACGAATCAAACGTCAATATTTGGGTTTGTTTGATCAACCATCAAATGTTGTCTTGAATCAATCATCAGCAGCAGTGACCCTGGCAACATCAACAGCATTCATCCAACAACAATAGCGGACAACAGCAACAACAACAACAACAGCAGCAATAGTAAGAGTAGAAAGAACCACAAGAATAATAAAGACAGAGGACATGCACCTTACTAGGAGCAAACAATAGTACATTATAAATGTATATGTACTGTTTGTTTTTTTTCTATATTTATTTTTTTATGAATATGTGTGGTTTGTGTTTTGTTTTGTTTCTTTTCATCATGTTTCCGCATCCCTATCAACCCCGAGGGGCTGCATATAGTCCCGTGCAGTGGTGCAATTGGAGTGACAACTCAATGCCTTGGAGCATATCAGCTACACTTGCCAAGAATCTAATAGTTTTTAAAGCTTTGTTTCGGGGAAAAAAACAACTGTTGGTTTGATCACATGTTTGTCTTTCCTACTATTTTGAATATCTAAAGGCTTGCTACATTTACATACATTTACAAGAATCGTCTTACTGGTTCTTAGCAGGGAATTTTCGGGAATGATCCAAAATCACTAGTAATAATCATCCCATTCCCGGCCCCATTCCCATCCACTCCCTACGTTTAGCACCAGTAAGTCGTTTGTTCTGATGGTTAATCTCTTCCAATTCCACATTTTGGACGACGTCTAGGTCAGAATCGTGACAGCGAAGGGGAGCTGATGCTCAGAGTGCCTCGGCTGCACGGCTGCGCAACAAAACGACATGAGGGCCTGGCGGCTAGTGCTGCTTCGTGACATTCCAAACCGTTTGAATTGTTTTCAAGAGTTGTTCGCCATGTTTTAAGTCATGAACATATCAGTTTCCATTATTTTTCAAGATATTTCAGGTGCCTAAATCATTCATCTGTCTAAATCCAATGATTACAATTCAGTGATTGCACCATTAGCGCTGCTTCAACCTACTGTACTCTCTGTTTTTTTTTTTAATGGTTTCAATCGAATCTGTCTCAGGCTTTCATGTGCCAAGCAAGACGAGCGAGAGTGAGACTTGCATCAAAACTGGGGGATGGCGCTTGTTAGGCTGGGTATACCAAGAGAATGACATGTTTCATCAGCAAACCCGTATGGAAGCGTTCCTTCGATGTTGAAGCAACATTTTGGGGCGGTGGAAGCAACCAACATACACATGCAGAGAAGGGGTTCAGGAAAGACAGAGCATATTGTCATCAACCAACAACAATAACAAAATCCAAAACAGGAGATCAGACGAATTCCAGCACTTTGAAACCCTAATGACCTATGTGATCCTATGTGAATCTATTTGCTATGAAGAAACTAGCGCAATCTTTGTCCCCGTTGTACTCTTTGTCTTGAAGGTAGTTCCTTCCTATTACAGACTTTTTATAACAATAAAGACTTCTATTTTGCTCACAGTTGTTTCGGTGTTTGTTTTGGGGTCAACCCCCATCAACCCCGGGGCTTATTGAGACCTACAGGAAAGTGGACGAAGCCAATGAACTCACGCGCTGTGTGCGCCCATCTTCAGGACGATGCGTTCGAAGGTAAACATGTCTTGCAGCTAATACTGTGCCGGAATTAGTTGTTCCAGATTTTTTTTAATGATTTTTTCATACACATTCACATTCCATCTTTTTCTTAGCACCCAACCACGGAACGCTGTCAATACTGCACCCTGTATGATATGTGTTGCTTGAGCCAAAGCGGCAGGACTGCACTTCGAACTGGCAGCACAGGCGCAAGAGACGTATGTTTGGGGAATGTGTGGCCAAAAATGCTGGGAGTTTTGAGACAAATCGATACAAATGGGCCAATACCATATGCCTAGATCCACTCTTGGGTTTGTGAAAAAAAAGAATATGTGCGACAATTATCATTAAACAACGGTCACTTAATCAGCAAACTCATTGGATTTGGCTTTTCTTATGGGGTTTTACCCCATGGGGAAACCCCCATGAGTTTCTGGTAGCGTCGCAGCTGGTCACTGGGATCCTGAGCGCTTTTCCCAGGCACCGGTGCTGTCCTATGGTTTTTATCGATGTGCCAATTTGCCTGAGCTCTGTGTGTCTTGGCTGCGGGCTGCGAGGGGCCTAGGGCCTACCTAGAATTAGTGCCTTGGAAAGTGTGGAAAGTGTGGAAAGTGTGGAAAGTGCACGGGAACCACACGGAGAAAGCCATAGAACCACACAGTGTTACATGGTGACCCACATGTCGACAATGTCAATGATATAAATTACGCCCAATCTGGGGATCCAATATGGCCAACGCCATGGTGAGAATGAGATTGGAACCCCCGATCGTACTGGCATGGAACGGATCTGTGATCGGACCCCCCTATGGCTATATCTGACTCAATGTGAACTCACCTCAGGTTGCACGGCCTTTGCTGCAAAACTCAAAGCAGTGATTTGGTTTTCACATGTTTTCACTAGGCTGGATTTTTAGGAGGTTATTGTTGCCATTTGTTGCCAATATACTGAGAGTTTGATAGTTCCACCACATTGTTTGTTTGGTGCAGGTTTTGCACAGATGTTGGCACCGGACCCATCCCAAAGTGACAAAGATGTCGATGTGAGTTACTGTACATCTTCCCAGATGTTTGGTAAAACCCAAATCTTTGATGACCAACAAAGAAAGAACATCTCCGAAGATAAACAATCTTCGAAATGGGTGGTTCTTAGCAAAGTGAACTTCCCGATTATTGTATTTTTTTGACTTCATTCCCACTTCGATTTTTGCAAGTGGCTCAGAACCCTTTACATAACTAAATAATACTATATAGATCTATATAGGCCATTAAAAAAACTATATAATACTATATAGTTATATAACAAATATATATATATATATATACATGCCACAGACGTTTAACATGAAACCCAACAGGGGCCATTTTCAGAAGTTTTCCGCAATCTTCGAAGCCCAGTTCTTCAGGTTCGGTGTGACTAGGGACTAGGCACTAGAACTGGGTAAGCCACGCATCACTACAAAACATATGACTGCGACGGAAGCCTGGAATACCTGGGTTATTTATAATTAAGGGCAATCATCCCCTTCTATGGCCGAACTATTCAGGTTGGTGAAATATTAGAATTTACCCAGATACATGATGATATACGAACATATTCCATCATAAGAGCAAATTACCTCATGTGGGTGAAACAATGTCATAAACCATCCCCCAGTCATCACCATTTTTATAGGTCGTATATGGTGGTATGTCTACAATTCCCAGTCATGGGTGGTAAAAATGGCAGTGCTTTTACCCAAATTACTTAACCATCATTCAGTATCAGTAACCATCATTAACCATTATTAACCATCATTAACCATCATTAACTACCCAGTCATGTGGTAAAAATGGCATTCTTTTACCCAAATCATATAGAAACCCATAGCCAGGCTGGGAATCTTCCGCCATGAAAAACAAAATCAAGGTGCGGCTGGTGCGGCGCACGCGCTTCCGCGCCGCGGTGCGGAAGGTCATGGCCCAGTTGAAGAAGCAGAACCTGATTCAGGTCTGGCTATGGCTGTTGTGTTGAATACTTGGGAGTTGTTTGATGAACATTTGTGATTAATTAATGTGTTTCTACAGTTTATGATCATGTGTATGTGTATATATATATATATACTTAATCTCATATATATGTATATACGTGTGTGTTGCATTTTGAAATCTATGCATATATATATATATATACATATACACATGATAGGATTTACATGCGTCTATCTGAACAATCCCATGTGTCCTTTCCAACCGAGTTTCGATTCATCGGTTGGCCAGCTAATAGTGAGGCCGGGCCCCACATCTCACCTTGGGATGTTGATGGAAACTGGTGATCAACCCAAGAAGATTTGCAGGCGGCTGTACGCTCCTTTCTGCCTGCCAAATCAGAGTCCATCAGCAGAAGCTTGACCTTGGTGAAGATCATGGATGGCCGGATTGATTTTGTTCGTTAGCAACCCTAAAGAAGATAGAAGAGTAATGGTGGCCACTATTTTGATATGGGTTTTGGCGGTTCTTTATGTTTTGGGAATTATTTCGGTATGTAATGAATATATATATATATTTATATATTTATTTATGGGCAAAACAAAGAAATATGAAAGAACTTTAAATGTATATAAATAATTATGAATATATATATATATATATTTACATATGAAGCGAAATCTGCAGGGTAAAATGGTTGTAACACAAGTATTTTTTAAAAAAATAGTTAGTAGAAAGGGTCAACATGGAGAGATCAAGCATCGACATGCGACATGCGACATGTTTATTCGTTGGACCATGCGAAAAGTTGACAGCCTGCAGTCAGATACACATTAAATATACAATGTAAATATTATACATTAATGTATATATATATATATATATTAATAATCATATTTAGCCTGTTAATAACACCTTACCCATCCAATCCAGCTTTGTTTCTGCGTTGAATCTCCATGTTTGTTGCCTACTTGTCCATGGAATTTTCATATATATATATATACATATATAACCGCCCTGGAGTAGATAGAATATGGGAGTTTCAATAGTGATGATTTGGATTGAAATGTCAATATTCTATCCACTCCAGGATGATTATATACATATACAGTCTATATCGTATACCAAGTATTTTCCCCCATTATTTTTTTTAATTATACACCCTTTAAATTAAATACACATGATAGAAGCATTATCTAAACATCCATAAACCCAAAGTATTAATTATACAACACCCCCTGTTGTTCTGTCCTCGCGCTGAGGCGATTACCAGCTGCTGAGCACCTGGACTTTGCCCAAATTCTATGCCAGGCTTGAGATGATGTATGAGGTGCTTGGACGGGCGGGCCATGTGCCATGGTGACTTCTGGCTGTGTGGAGAGTGTATTCCTCAATTGAGAAAACCAATGTAATACGATACGAAAAGGTTTTGTGTATAATGTTATTTTTTTTGCGTTTTATTATGTTCTGTGCAACTATATTTTCGGTTCTGAGCCATTTCACTGAAGTACTAACCATCAAACCGACTCCATGGCCCAAACAGGGCTTGTAGGGGACCTCTGGGAAATTGTCACGAGGACCCACATATGTTTGGGGGTTGTTCGAGCTGTATATTTTGCCATTGTAAGAACGGATTCGGAAACTGTGGTTTATCTCCCAGGATTTGTTTTTTGTGGGTTGACCCAGATCTAGTCTAGTCATGTCTAGTCACAGAAAACTGGAGGCATTCCCAAATGAGTAGGCATTGCCTGGGTCAGACAGATCCTGAAGATTTGAAAAGTGGAGGGTTCACAGGATCTCTATAGTCTTAGTACCAGGGGAAAAATTGTAGGGAACATGGTTCGAGGCCCCTTTGGAGGCTCCAAACATCACCATTGGATCATCGAAACGCAAAACGCACCGATGATTTTCGGTCGGTTTACCTTTACGACTCTACGACTGTTTGGTGGTTCGAACATTTATATGAGTTTTTGGATGCGTCCTACCTTAGGAAATTATTTTGAGGTTCCAAAGTATGTTTTTTTTAATAATTTCCAATTTTTAACATAAATTTTATGTTAAAATCACCCGACAAGAGCCATAGCAAAATAATTTTTGCACCCGTACCTTGATGATGGTGCAAAATAATTTTCCACCTACAGAGGTTGAAGCACCTTGAAATAATTTTAAACAAGCAACTTAAGGCACCTCAAAATAATTTCTCAGTTGAACTGGGGAAATTATTTCATATAGTTCCAACTGTATAAAATAATTACCAGACACCCATGATGAAAATTATTTCATGGGGTGGGGGTACTTGCAAACCACCTGCAAAATAATTTCAGCATATTACATCAAATTTCAACTACATATTTCAACATGTTCAGTCAGGATATTCTTTGAATCAATCTGCAGCCATTTCCAACTTCATTCAAGCCACATCCCGTCAATCCCAACACATCCCAGGGAAGTTGAGTTTTGCAAGGTTAGGTTTTTTTGGATTTCTGGGGTGGTCTAGTAGTTAACCACCCCCAAAATAATTTTTGGGGAGAGAGGAATCGATTCAGGTTTCTTTGCCCAAAAGCCGATGCTAAGTCGATGTTCTAAAAAATAATTAGTTCAGCCAGTAATTCATGGTAAATCTCAGGGTTTGTCTGTTCGAGGCAATTTGGATTTTGAACTACTCAATGGGAAGTTAATTTTGCCAGTTTAGGCTATTATTATTTCTGGGGTGGTTTAGTAGTTAACCACCCCCAAAATAATTTATGGGGTAGGAAGGGGTCGATTCAGATTTCTTTGTCCAAAAATCGATGGTCTAAATCATAGGTGGTTTAGTAGTTAACCACCCCCAAAATAATTAGGTTCTCATGGTTTGATTCTTTCAGACAGTTTGGGTCAATTTGGATCAGGTTTGGCATTTTTGACCTATTCCAGGGAAGTTGAGTTTTGCAAGGTTAGGTTATTTTGGATTTCTGGGGTGGTCTAGTAGTTAACCACCCCCAAAATAATTTTTGGGGAGAGAGGAATCGATTCAGGTTTCTTTGCCCAAAAGCCGATGCTAAGTCGATGTTCTAAAAAATAATTAGTTCAGCAAGTAATTCATGGTAAATCTCAGGGTTTGTCTGTTCGAGGCAATTTGGATTTTGAACTACTCAATGGGAAGTTAATTTTGCCAGTTTAGGCTATTATTATTTCTGGGGTGGTTTAGTAGTTAACCACCCCCAAAATAATTTATGGGGTAGGAAGGGGTCGATTCAGATTTCTTTGTCCAAAAATCGATGGTCTAAATCATGAAATTCCGACAATGCTTGTCGGGTGCATTCGGGAGGATAGGTAGGGTGACCCCCCAAAATAATTTTGTGGGGATTTTTGCTAATTATTTTGAGGTGGTTCTACTTGTTTTTTCAATCATCCAAAACCATCTTAAACCACCTTGAAATAATTTCCAAAATTCTTTTGAACTAAGGGAAGTGTTTTTGAGTAATAGTAGAACCCTACAAAATAATTTATTTGCAAATTTTCAGAAATTATTTTGAGGAGGTGGGTAGTGATAAAGGATATTATTTTGGGGTGGTTAGAGTGTTTTGGAAAAAAATATTTTGTAGTGGGTTATGTACTAGAAGCACCTCAGAATAAATCCCAGAAATTATTTTGGGGGGTCACCCTAGTGATTTTACCCAGGGTAGCCCGCATGTTTTTGGTGTTTTTAAAGACATCTAACCACATATATACACATATAAACACATATTTGTGCAATTTTTTGCACATGTTTTTATATGTGTTTCCCATCCAACTTGGGATGATGATCATCCCTTAAAATCACGATGGAGTTTCGTGGCTCGAAGCGTTGCTGATACGGCAAGCAGCAACCTGGTAAGCGGCAACCTTCAAAATGTTCACCATGTGACCCCGATGGGTCATATATATATATATATCATTATATATCACTATCTATCAGTCTAACATGTTCAACTGAAAACAAGACAGAACCAACAAGTCCAAACACTGCTCAACTTTGAGTTGCCTCAGATTTTTCTGCGTTGGCGCGGCCCGGCACGGCCTGCCATCGAATCTGCGACGACGTCCTGCATTTGCAGCCCGCAGCCATCGAAGGCCGTGGCGCCGGCACCAGCCATGGCCAACTTTGAAGACGCCTTGCAGAAACAGCTGGAGCTGTTGAAGGTGGAATTGCTTCAGGCGGATGACTTGATATGTTGTGACATTTTATGGGTGTTGATGTGGACATTTGAGGGGAGAGATAAGGGGTGAATAAAGGCGTTGAAAGTGCAGGAAGGCTGCAAAAGGTTTGTTTTGCATCATAGTTGCGCAAGCGTTTTTGTTGATGAGTAGTTGGGGATAAATTGAAAATCGGGACTTCTTCCGATCACCCAGCACAGAGACAATATGAGAGACGCACAGGGTATCGGTTGCTATTGATGTCATTGCAATGTGATTCTTGAAAGGTACAACACCCCTTCGGCCCTTCGGGTTGCAGTATGTTGCAGTAGATTTGCACAAACTACAGACATGGAAAGGTTGGACGGTGAGTTTCTGCACTGGGTGATCTAGACAAGTGGGAAGCTCCTGCTTCAGATATTGCCTGGGGATGGGATGTTAGCTGTAGATACGAGCCCCTGACATGAGCATAGAGACCCAACAGTAGAGAATTGGACTTTGATCCCTTCCCTGAATTTTACAAGCATCCCTGCACAAAGGCATGGTTTATCCTCTGGTAGAGGGAAAAATATGGCTTGCTGGAAAGTCACCCATTTGTTCCCATTTATAGAGGATTTTCGCATTCATGTCCATTTATAAGGGATTTCCCAGCTAGCCACGTTTGATTTACCGGAGGGTAGTATGTCATTCTGGAGAGTCCAGGTATGTCCAGGTCCCAAACTTGGGCATTTGACAGGCACACTGGGCGTCCCACTCGGCCAACACGTCCCACTCGGTCAACAAGGGCTCAAGACGTAGCAGCACCCTTTCCGTTCCCGTCGATTTGGAGGCAGGGAAACACGTCTTGAAGTTTGAGCCATCGAAGCTGTGGCCTTGTGTTGGCATGTTTCGGCCGGTGGTCAGAAGTTATCACTTTCCATTCCAGGAAATTCCTGCGAAATCTTTGAAGGATCCCCAGTGACTGGTTGTTTCTCACTGAAACCGCCAAGCCGGGATGGAATTTCTAGGGGGCCCGAATGATCACACTGATGGGTACAGTAGAAGATGCAGATACGCCCTCATCTTAACATCAAGGGCATTGGATTTTGCCCATGCATCCATTTTCCCATGGAATGGTTGACCGTGAAGTGATTCCAACAATGTGAGGCCCCCAAGATATAAGTTGGTTTATAAGCCCCAGTAACTATAGTTATAAATACCATAAACCACAGTTATTGGAGTTATAAACCAACTTAGCTATCTTGGGGGCCCCACATTCCAATGTTTCATGATTCAAGAGCCTATTCTTTCCCTTGGATGAGACCCAGGTGCCGGGGCAGGAGGTGATCCCCTCCGAACATGACGAAGAGGTGCAGCGATCTTTCAGCATGGCTCTGGTGAAAACATCTTGAAAACACCACAGAAACACCATGGTTGAGTGATGTTTTGTATTGTTAAAAATGGTGAAATAGTATGAAAAAGTAACATCAATTGAGCCATCGAAGGTTTCACCAAGGATGGAGTGGACTGGTAGCATGATCGTCTAAGCAACAAGAAGCTGGTTGGTGGTTTGGAACATTTTTTATTTTTCCATATCTTGGGAATAGAAGCCCCAACTGACTCAACTGACTAATATTTTTCAGAGGGGTTGAAACCACCAACCAGGAAGTCTTGTTGTACTGGTACGTGCACAGTGTTGCAGTTCACCAACGAAGGGGGTGGGAACCGGCAAGAATAATTTGCTAAGCATTTGTTTAGTAGTTTTAAACCAAGAATGGAATAGACATACTTTTGCCGCCAAAAGATTCTGGTTCATTGGAGAAAAATCATGGACAATGAGTGATGGAGGGGTATTATTTAATTATATAATCGTGATTAATAGACACACACATATATAATCATATATATATTTATATATATATATACATACTATGTGTTTAAAACTTCAAAAAAAATGGGATGCGTCAACTATGAAATCCGATTGACTGGAATATTACATGTACAGTATCACCTGACTTTCCAAACATGCAACTTGGCACATTATTGATAATACATCATTCCTTATTAAGAACGACGGATGATTGACAGATAGTCCGGTTGGCCATGTATCCTAAATTTCATCAAGTCATCAGCTTGTGGCTTCGAGATGTGTCCGGTTACCTCTGAACATTTGATCTATCCCGCAGTCTTTTGAGAACATCATCCTATTAATGTATGCAGCAGTATTTTCATATTTTTCATGTGATATATATCTATATATATATATATTATGAACTATATATGTGTTACTGCAATGATTATAGTCATTATTAATGTGCTGTTTGCTCCAATTGCCAGGTTAGGTACCATGGTCGTGGCATCTCGTTAGGTCGGCGTGGCGTTGCGCGTTTCGGACCACTTTGCGAATGGCATCGCAGTTCGATGGGTAGCTGGGCGAAAACCACCGGGAGGTCCATAATGCTTGGTCCATATACAGTATGAAATATCGATACACACACATATATATGACATATAATTATTTATATATATATTATGTATATACCTACCTGAACATTCCGTCGATCAATTATTTTTGGTAGTTTTGGAGTATGACTGAAAATGCCCCAGTTTTCAGAATCTCGTCTAATTCTACTAGTTTGCCTGGTTTTGCTTCCTAGTGGCCACACTATCACCACAATTGACATTTTGAATAATTATGACTGAACATGGCTTGCATCCTGGCTGCGTCCCAAAGACATACCAGGCCATTCTCATATCCCGAGCACCAACGCATATGAATGCACATACTGCGCCCAAAATTACCCGCAAAACGCCTGCAAAAATCCGTAAAACGCCCGCAAAACCTGCAAACGCCCGCAAATCCAAGAATCTTGTAAATTGAGAGCAAAATACTGGTGAGAAGACAGGGCCATGCTGATGGGAAACACAGCCATGACATACCACGCCTAACTTTTTGGGGAACGCGGGAACGCTCGATACGACCATAAATTTGATGAAACGCCTGATTGTGCAAAACGCCTGATATTTTTTAGGAGCTGGAAGGCCCAGGTATAGAAGGTACAGAAGCTGGATATAAATGTCTATGTTTTTTAGGAAGATCATTTATGCATGGCGGATTTCCCAAGGGTGTCCTTGTTTGGGCCAGTTTGGGCATTGTATGGTTTGTAATCTACTATGGCCCTGAGAGTGACAAGAAAAATGGGCAAGCAATCTTCATGAAACCAAAATGACTATATAGAATTATATAGATCTCTTTGCCCCGTACAGTACCAATTGATGATCAACGTGCGTATGATTCAAGTTCACTATGCACACATGCGTACATATCATTTTTGCATTTACTGTAAAACATAATATATTTTTACATGCACGTATATATTATGTGTTTGTTTGTTTATTTATCTATACACATATTATACAGATCAAAACATCATCCAACTTGGATGTGCATCTCAGGAATTGCTACTGCTAGACCTGACGCTCCACCGTGTTCCCAACATACCCATTATCACCAATACAACCTATATATATATATATATCCAACTTCCTTACACACAAAATGTGTACATATATATATATATATATATGTTGGTGTGTGTTTGTGTCAATGTAAAAAAAAACATGTATAGAATATATTGATATACGATATACACTCTTTTTCGTATTAGTTTTTGAAAAACATATCCTGTATACATCTCCTGCCTGTCCTGCGGGATCTCAGGCCCGCCTTTCCCGCGCCTTGCTGGCACCACCTCCATCCGAGGCGGGACGGATTTGAAGCTGACTGTAGCTCTGGGATTCTATTGTGATTTCAATGGTGGGTTAATGGGGATTAATGTGATTTTAATTGTGTTTAATGGGGTCTTATGGAATGTTTCATTTACTCCACTAAACGAATATTATTGGTTGTACCCTCTGGTAGTCAAACGTGGCTGGTTGGAAATTGCTCAATGAATGGGGGTTTCTAGCTGGTAAAACCATCATAAACCATCTATAAATTAGGAATTGTCCAGCAAACCGTGTTTGATTATAGTAAGATAACTATATATGTTTAATTATATCCACTATGATATGTTATGTGGGGATGATAATGATGGATTGTTTAATGGTTGCTATTGAAATGTGGCTTATGGCCCTACTTGCTTCACCATAGAGATTTTGAACAAAACCATTTCATAGCAGAGGTGTCCGCGGCTGAAGTGGGGACCAGGATGACGATTCCAATTGACTTAATACAGGTTGAACAAACAGGAAACCTTTGGTTTCGTGTAGGCAGTGTTTCGGCAATCTGGATGTGGCAACCGTCCACTTCCAGCTTCAACATATTTCTTCAATCTTCTTTTGGAGAATAGTCAATGTGTTTGTTTCACAACTTTAAAATTATGTCCACCAATTTTTGCAGCTTATTTTCCCATTGGACTCGCCAATTTCGGATGATTTCCTCATCCCCCATTTGCGGGATTCCCAATGTTTTTTTTTGGATGTTCTGTTGGTTTTGTGTAGGAGCCATTTCTTTAATATGCTTACCTCAGTAACATGGGTGTTTCTTGGTGCCACGGGTGATCCCCAGTCAGCATGTCTCACTGGTCGGTCCCAGCCGCTTTTGGGCTTTTCAAAAACGCGCGTCGTTGTGGTCTTGGTGCCATGGAGATCCAATGTCAAGGCGAAGCCTTGGGCGAAGCGCAACGGAAAGAAATGGCCAAGGTGCAACGTGGATGGGGTACGGATGGACAATTCATAAAAGATACGGACATCTACTGGGAATATCATGGGAAGAAGACTTTTTTGATGAGGTACGATGGAATATGAATGGAACATGTATTAATTGGATGGAATAATTATCCAGTGATGTGATGATGGTAATACCTTGGGATACACATTAAGTCAATGCAATCTGAAATGGCCATGGAATGTTAATGGGATATTGATTCTCTGTCCAATGGTTCGGAGGGAGCTGAGTATATCTATCAGCTTATCAGTTGGTTGGGAAACTCTTAGTTTTTTTTGGGGGGGAATTTGTTGCACGTATTCCTCCATGATTATCCACAATTTTCTCTAATTCTTGTGACCCAAGACTTCACTATCCAGTGGTTAGGGAGCGCTTTGGAGCTAGGGGTATACCCTATTAACTGATGAGCCAAGGAGCGAGCCAGTTGGAGCTACACTAAGAGTTTGCCAACCATTTGATAGTAAGCCCGTCAGCCCAAGTTTGTAAAAATGAGACAATTATCAGATACACACGGAATAATCAACTACCTCACAATCATGGAATATTGTTGGTTCTTTTAATACGTGTATATTATTAAAGAATTATTGGACGTTTTGTTTAAATACCAAAGGACCAACCAAATAGTCAACGATGATGAGAATAACATACATGACCAAATATGGGACTAAAAAGAGGGTTGAACTATCAACAACGGGTACGTAGCAACTTGGGGGTTTAGGGTATGTAATATTGGCTTTGGGTGTAGTTTAATGATATGAAGTCAAGGCCATGAATTATATAATTATTTTAGGATGTTTGTTGAATAACCATGGGATAACCATAATAAATCATCCCCTTATTGCAAGGAGTTTGTCAAATTGCGCCGTGTCTTTTGTGCATGGGATGATGTATAGGATGACCGACGTGGTTTTGGGTCATTGGAATCATGGGGCTGGGAAGGGGCGCATATAGTTTTACATCGTTTCTCTATCGACAGTTTCTGTTAATACTTGCCGCGTAAACCAAAGGAATTGTGAGGGGTTGAGGCATACTACTTCAAAGGTAGGTTCAGGTTAGTTTAGGCTATTTTGGGTTAATAAGCGTACGACATTGGTTCAATGGTAGGTTATTATTTTAACTTTATAAAACAAGCGTATACAAAAATGCTGGTGCCACCAGAGAAAAGCAACAAGGGCATCTCACCCGCAACGGCAAGCATTTGGGATCATTTGCGTCAACCAAATGGATGGGTAGTTTATGATTTTAATTACTCGTTTTTACCATAAATCTGGAATAATCTGGGCAAACATTCACCACCTCACTGTTCTCCCGAGCCCTGGAATCATGTTCTTACTCAGAGGAATCATCCCAAAATGGCCGCACGTTTCAGGTTAGCAAAGTATAATTTGCCCAGATCAATGGGTGTATACTCTTCTACCGACCAGTGCCATGTCACTGGATCCATGGATGCCAAAGTGCGGCTCGGCGGTGGATTCCACTCACCCAACTGGAATCCAATGTATTCCAATGTGGAATAGGTTTGGAATAAGTGATAATAAATGAATAATAAGTGATATTTAAATCCAACGGATTTCATTTCATTTTTTTGGAAAAAGTGATAGTTAGTCATATATTCTCTAAATTAGTTGTGGTGTAACTGTTAAACTCGGACTACCCTTTCCTCCCTGCAGGCCTTCAACTTCTTGGCTCTCCGCGTGCAAGGCGCACTTGCTCGAAAGCGCAGTGGACTCCCATTGATTCTTGGCGGCTGGGAGCTGTGTTTTTGCGCTCCAATATCGGATGATCCCCAGAGTTACTTGCGAACAAGAAACACGGTTTCAAACAAGTTATACTTTCATTTCTTACAAAAGTGCGCCGTACGTTGGTATTGTATCACCCATTCCTTAAACCAACCCAGTGACACCAACAGATGGTACACAAATCCTTTGTAAGCTTAAGTGTGTTTCATATTGTTTCATATTTGTGCCCACATTTATACGCCTTGGGTATGTGTGAACCTTGTTCTTTTAGTTCTTATGGGTGGTGCCCGCATCCATGGACCCATTTACCTTGTAACGAATGCATATATCATTAAACTATATGACTATATGAAAATATCATTTATGTATGATTCATGCCTATCCCACTAGTTTATTTTTTGTTTATATAATTCCTTTTGTTTTGTCCCACGTGTTGTTTATGCAGATCTATATGCAGTTCTATCGGTTGGACATGTCTGAAATTGACTGCATGCCATGCGCGCCCACATACACAAGTCCCTCTCTATATCAGCAGGGGATTGATTGAACATATGGTAGCTGGTAGCTTTGATAATTACTCCTAAATCTAGTAGTGGTTAATTATCACTGTACCTTTTAACATTGCCATTTTTGTGTATTTGCAGTATCCCCATTTTCAGATGCACTCATACATTACACAAGTCGAATATTGTTCCACATGTGACATAGAAATAGTCAATTGAGAGCTCCCTCCTGGTACGAGTTGCTTGTTTGCCACAGCAAGTTTTGTCGAAACCCTTGGCCAGTTGGGTGCCCAAGGCTGCTACCAAAGTCAGAAGTGCCCAAATTGCTGCGCGGCTGCGGACGAGCCCCAAGCAATGCAGATCTGAAAGAGCTACTGGAATCCGTCAGTGACTTGTCATTCTTGCTGGGGCCTGTTGGAAAACAACAATGGGGTTCGGAACCCCAAAAATCCATGAGAGCGAAAATATGAACATCATTGGCCTTCCGCATTTTGTGCCCTCCAGGCAAGGGTGAGTACAGTAAGCCGTCATTAGACTGTGATAAAACGGTCAACTAGCTATAATCCCCCATCCTAACCTGCGCTGAAAGGGTTTTTTGTAGGTCATTGCACGCTGTTAAGTGAAGAACCTGAAATGATTGGCTGGTTGGTATCTCTAGCCCAAAGCACGAATCATATTTTCCCAAGCGTAGGGATTAACCGTGTTTGCTCACCCCCCAGTGAACATGCAAAAAAACAATGGAAACCCATGGGTTTGTAGAACAAAGAATCTACAATACGTGAATGTTCCGTATCTTTCTCAGTTTAGTGAGGGGTATCTTATGCGACCCTCAGCATCAGCATCTCAGCTGATGCGCAGCTAATGATGATAGGAATGGGACCAGTGATGATCACCCAGACGGTCCATGTTATATTTACCAACATTCACTTCATATATGTATAGGTATAGGTATTCCATACATGGGGCCGTTTGGTCCCTATTGCTTGGAACCTCCTACCAGTGCTGTTTTTGGCGAGTAGGTGATTGTTAACTTCCTCAAGCATGATTGGGAACCTATTGTTATTTACCGTTCACTTTCTTGGCTAGTAGTAGCACAATGCAGTACATGGTGAACCGAAGTATCACATGTGTCCAAATGGTGAATAGATGTGAATAGATGTGAATAGATGTATCAAGTTTACGTTTAGTGTTACTATAGTTGCCATTTTACCCCTATTGTATGTAATGCCCCAAACTTAGGTTGATTGATAAGTAGGTGTACTAGGGTTTATTATTTGCATATCTGTATTTATACAATTTATACATATAGAATTAATTATACTGAATTATGATCATGTATATATATAATCCCCCTTACAATATCCCTTATAGAATGGCGCCACCCGGGGGGCGCGATTTATAAAAAATAATCGCGCACCCAGGGGTAAAATCAAAAAAATGAATTGCTTATAAAATGGAGTCATTTGCAATAACACTTTTGGGAAGATCCCTACTTGAAACTGTCATTTTATAAACCGCCCCTTTTTCTGGGGGCTATAAAATGGCAAACCCATTATATAAGGTACACTTACTTTGCAAATCTTTGCAATATAAACAAGTTCTTTTGATAATTATAGGTTTTACCAGCACAAACTGAGAGAAACATACCCGGAGAATCCCGGAGAAATCAGGTTTGCACAGTTTTTGTGCTTATAAGATGCCCTGGAGGTGCCTTATAGAATGACAGGCTATCTGACACCAAATTAGTCTGAATTAGTAGAATTTCCATTCCCACCTTATAAAATGGAGTTTGCAGCTGTCCAAAAAAGTAAAATTTGAAATCAAGGTATGTAAGCGATTTTGATGCGATTTTGGTCACTATGGTCCGTCAACTAATAAGCTTGATGTTTTCTCTATAAAATGCTAATTGGTATTCCCTATATTGCTGTAGGTTGGATAATTGCAATTTTATAAACATTTGGTACCATGGATCTCTCATTTCATAAGGAATTTCTTATAAATCGCGCCCCCCGGGTTCAGCTTCTAATTGTAAGGGGGATTATATTTATATATATATATGTATGTATATATATATATATATGCAAATATATATATATATATATGCAAATATATATATATATATAATAATATATATATATATATATCATCTATGTACCCGTATGTAGTTGGAGTCGGCTCCAGAAGCAACTACAATAAGTGGGAGGCATCACCTTGCCTTCGGGCCCTTTTCGCCGTCCCCCTGAGGCGATGAAGGTCTTCTGCTCGAGGACTTCATCACACTCTACGAGTGGCCAGGCATCGGTTACGATGTCATGGAAAATGGGTCATAGCAGGAAAATAGCCTGCTTAATATGATATAATAAAATATAATATAATATAATATATATATATGTATTTACACACACAGATAATCATACTAGTATATATATATATATAATACATACGGAACATTCCTTGCGAGCGACATGTTCTGTTCACCGGTTGTAACTCATCTACTAACTGGGATGCACATCCAGACTTGCGCAGATAGTCAGTGAAGAGTATTGGCATCATACAATGAAGCTACAGATGCAAGTCATTTGAATTGTGAAGAATGCGCAATGTAAACATAATTGCTACAGGCGACTCAGGCGACCTGATATCAATACTATAATACAACGAATTGAACTGAAGGCTTACCCTCTGGCAAACTAACATAGCTATTTAATATGTCAAATTGTTTTGTAATTAATTGCTTATTAATTAAAGTTAAAAAGGGTGATTTTGCATAGCTATGTCAGTTTGCCAAAGGAATTGGCCGTTTCAAATATCGATGTTTTTTTTGCCTAGCTTTACCTCATTATATGGGGAGACTACATGACTTTTGGAACAATTCAGCTGAGGAAAGCTTCAGAGAAGGTGGATGGGTCCGACGGCTGAGAGTGAGGGATATGCTCTTGGGGAATCACACGTTTTCATCTACCCTTTGGAAACCATTCCCATGTGAATGGGAAGTCAGGAAATCCTCTACACATGGAGGTTTTAAATGGTGGGATTTTCCAGCTCACATATTATGTCCATCCATACTGGTATGAATTTCTCACAATCAAACATGAGGATGTCCTATTGCCAATGTTTGATTTCTGAGGTTCTCATGAAGCGTTGTTTCGCCAGTGGGTTAAAGCACAGGGATTTAGTTCAAAATGGTGCTGGAATGGAAACGGTTTGAGATTCAATGCCAACAAATAATGCTTTGCACCCCACAGGGTTTTAATTTGTAGTACTACTTGTGCCCATCGCCAAATGCATTTGGAGGTGGTTTTGCCAGCAAACCTTCTGATTTGTTTTGTGAAAGTGATGCAAGCAATAGATACGGATAGATATGGAATGCCGTGGCTTGCAACAAGGACAGCCACCATGAGGATTCAACACTATGGATGATGAAGCATAAACCCATTGGGGCCCGTTCAAATCAGCTGTAGGTTAATCTCCACCAAAATCTGACTATTTCCGTTACATGGAGTTACAACACATGAACTGGAATCAACTGGGGCCCTCCCATGAAAAAACTCGCCCAATCAATTGGATATATATATATATATTTATGATCCAACAGAAATCCTATAGCTATGGAGTTGAATATTCAAGCCAACGGAAACCTATCAACTGGGGGCCTACATTCTATAAATCCTATAAATTACAGGCCATGAAATCCCAGATTCAAACATATTAAAACCAGAAACGCTACAGTAAAACCGAGCCTCAAATCTCCAATAAATCGCATGGAAAAACGCCCTGAAAAAGCCGTGAAAGCAGGCCTTGCCCAGCGAACATCAGCTCCTGGATGCCTTGAGGGCCTTGGATTTGACGGGCTCCGCAGCTTGGAACAACGGGCTCGGAAACCTGGGAAAACCATGAGTTTTTGATGGAAAAACTGACAGGGTTTGATGATATGTTATTGGGATATGGGATTTAAAGGATTTTTGTTCATTGACTTGGGATTTTAAGGGCGTTTAACGGTAAAAAAAAATATTGGGATTAGTTATATTAGATGTTTATGGATGTTTATGGAATTTAATGAGATTTTACAGGTTTTAATGAGGTCTTAATGCGATTGTTTGCAATATGTTTGATCGTTTGTTGGGAGTTCATGTTGGATGAATTCTGATTTCCCCATTGGATAATCCATCATTTGGGGAATCTACTCAGGATAAATCGTCACCTTCACAATTAAAAAAAACAAGAAAATGGAAGTAGCTTGTTGAAACATGGATTTAGATTTAGATGGATTATCCGACTTAGATTTGATTGAGCAACTCCCAACAAGAGCGTATTAGAAAAACAATATGCGACTGGTTTGGTAGGATTTACTACTTGTTTGTTTCTTTTGTGCCAGGCGGGAGCTGTAGATTTGTTTTTTGTTGGTGCAGTATCATATGGTATGAAGGGGGCCAAACAAAGGATGAATTATATTATATAATATATATATATACATTGTGATGCCCCCAAGTTAACATGAAGTTATGTTACTTATAACTTGAGTTACGGAAGTTAAATTGAAGTTATGTTAACTTATGTTATACGATGTATAACTTAAGTTATAACTTCGATAACTTCTTAGGAGGTTTTTTGTTTTTTGATATACAATGATTTTTTTATAGCATTATTTGGTTTCTGCAGTTTCTTTGTTTGGGCCAGGATTAACTTGCGTTTTTGGCCGCAAAATGCAACGTTTTCACAGCAACAGTGGGATGCCGCAGTCCCAGTGACCCGACTAAATAGCCAACAACTGCGTCCACGCGCTGCAAAGGCGACGGAGCAGGCTCGGCCAGTAAAGTATCCCATAGAGCTTGACGAAAAAAAAGGCATCAAGATTTGTAGTCTTGCATGGCGGACCTTTGCGCAGCCCCATTTTCTGCCGCTGCCATGACGTTGCGGAAAAAAAACCTCCCGTTGAGCACTGAATAACTATCATGGCATACATGACTCAAAATGAACAACCAAAAAATGCTAACTCGCGTAACTTCGACAACTTCATTTTATCTTTGTTTCTTGGGATAGCCTAACTTATGTTATAACTCCACATCTCATGTTTTAAATTCAACATAAGTTATAGAAGTTAGCCTATGTTATAACTTATGTTACCCCATGTTATAAATCATCTTACAGAATATAAAAGTCAATTTGTATCTCGGGGGCCTCACAATGTACATATATGTAGTCTATAGTTTATCATGAAACAATAGGTTTGTATCCATTGCTGGGGGGGGTCTCATTTTAAATGTGTTGGCCGGGTGTCATCAACAGGAACCAATGGAATCAGGAATCAAGCAATAGAAACTGTGAGTGGTTGGCTTCATGGATTCTTATTTGGCTTTTGAGACCGAGCATTCATTTGGCCTGCAAATGCAGTAGGTGTATCACCCTATATAGAAGACATTAGAATCTTGTAAGACGTTTGTCACTTCTTGGAACTTTTTTTTGAAACATCTGGAGCCGTGAAACTTCGCAGGTGCTCCAAATTTTGGCCTTGTCACCAAGGATTCACTGGATCCCAAGGCTCTAAAAATCATTCTATGCCTCTTGGGCTCCATCCAGATGGGAGGGGATAGAAGGGTAGAATCGCAACGTCTTTGCGTTTTTGCGGTGTTTGATTGTTTGTCCTGGTGATTCATATTCGTTGTTGTTGCCTGGATCATCATGGTTCAGAGGTAGTTTGTTTCGGTGGTGGTTGCATGTTTTCCCTGCCGGCCCACTAGAGCATTCTTCCCTCTTGTACATTCTTTTACCATCCAGGCTTACCCCGTTCCAAAGAGAGTGTGAACTTTTACCGTACACTGGTCGGTATGCGGGGTATGGGGCTCCAGCAGCGGGGATGAAAGCAATCCATTGACATCCTCGACTGCTTCTAAGAGTAATTGAGTAATTCAAAGAACCTCCAAGGAGTTTTTCTTGTTCAGAGGGTTTGGACCTTTTAGATCTGATGCAGAAAGCAAACAATTTCTCACAATGAGATGAATTTTGTGACATGGTTTTCAAGTCTTCAACTCATGGGGCTTGTAGGCATTCCATGTTGTTACTGTTTTTATTCAGGGGTGCATTTTTTTCCCTTCGGATGATTCTTGTGCGGCATTCAGATTTTGAAAAGGGCTTAAAGTCGGAGATTAAGGGACCTGGAGGATGAACAAGTCCAGTACTAAGAAGGTTTGTGTTACACTGTGACAGTGGCGCGCAGTTCTGCTTGTTGATTCAATTTCGCCCATTCGCAGGTAGACTCACCAATTTTTTCTGAGTCTCAGGTGGGATGGGGGATAAACTTGGACTCACTCATGTGGACCAGCGGCTCGGCGGGAGATGGTTGGGAAATCCCCGAGTGAAATGGATGTTTCAAGATTTCAGTGAGGTAACGATAGGAGCGCCTCCAGTTTTTCTTACGCGAAAAGGACAATGACCACTGAGATATATTTCGAACATTTTTTTGGGGTTGTTATTCTGCAGGAAGGATATGGTGATTAACCAATGTCCCATCGGTACCCCACTCACCCAGGATCTTGCAGGGCGTGCCGAAGGATGGTCTGGGACGCGTCAGCTGTCGACAATTGGCCCGAAAGCTCTCGAAGGGACCGGACGGGGTGTTGCATTTCTGAGCGCAGTTTGCTGCGTCGCCGATGAAAACACATGGCCTAGCGAGAAGCTACACTGAGTAAACCTTGGATGGGTATATGGAGGTTTCTTAAAATGAAAACGGCAGGTTTTTTGGGGTGGGGGTACATGTACCAAACAGCCATTTCGTGCTCTGTATCGATGATTGACCATGTCGAGAAGATTATGGAAGTCAGGTCTTGGAGGTATAGTTCTGGAAGATGAGTTTTGGTAGTAGCATGCATGAAGATGTCGTATGGGTAGACAATGGTAAACATGTGCGTACCTGAAAGGTATTTTGAATTGCATATGTACATAAACTAAGTACGCGCACAATGTACATCTTTTGTCAAGCCTTTTTGCACAACGGTGAAAGTGGCATGTTGAATTGACCATGAATGTGTTTGATTGTTTTAGTGGTACATGCAGCCCAGGCATCCAAAGTTAAGACTTGCCGTTTTTCTACCTATCCAAGGGATTGATTGCATAGGAGATCTGAGGAATTATTCCCGAGGAGATTCAGCAAAGTTGATCTCTTTGCAGCGTGATGCGCAGACAATCGCAGACAGCAACGCAAACTGAACAGAAAACGGAGCATGCCTGAGTTTGAAATGGGGGCCGGGCATGACTATACAATGATATACAATGATATATATATATATGTACATAACATATATATATATATATATTATATTGCTCGATGTTGTATGATTATATGTATGCATATGCATGGGCGTGTTCATGTAGATATGCATTCCTACCTCCCAAAACCTGTAGAGAAGTTGTACAGTAAGGTAGTTGCTCGGGACCTGATGTTAGCCATGTGGTACTTTTTGCCACAGTGTTAGCTCATTGGGAATTTCAGGATCCTAAATTGAAGGTACCTACTATATATAAGGCCTATGTAAGGGGATATACCCACAAAATATGGCTTTATATGGTACAGTACCTCCAATTTAGGATCCTGGAATTACCATTGATTAGCGATCTGGTAAGTAATCCCAGCTGACAAAATCTTACAAACCACTCAACGAGCGCAAACAACATGGCACAAAGTGCTGTTTTCTTGTTGTTTCCGCATCGTCCATGGTACAATCAACTTAAAGATCTTGAACCATACCCTCAGGTTGCAAGATGTTGCAAGTGTTGCTGATTGAATGGTGAGGCCAGGAGTTTTTAACCGTTACAAAGTTCGGGAGAATGGTCATTTGTTGATGTTAAAACCCTCATGGTTTCAGGGTTAAATCAGGCCTTAGCCCTCCATGCTGATTGGGTTGCTGCGATGCCCGATGGGCAAGGCGCCAGAGAGGGAATATATTGAATAGATGCCTGTGGGCTGGAGAGGTACTACCAAAAAGTGTGGCTTTAGCAAGTGAACATGTGCATTGAGCAGCAAAGAGATGGACGTTCACCAAGACAAGGTTTATAAAAAAAAATGCGATTTAAATCAATTAATGTTGGACTGTTCCAAGCCAAACAAAAAGGTGTTGAAGCAACCAAACATGGGATTGAAACGACCAGACATGGAAGTTAATCACACATGGGTACTACTGCGATGTCCCCAGAAGCGATGGTTAGCGTTTGGGGGAAGGCAAACATAGCCTGGAGCCATCCCGAAGAGATAGAAAAGTTGGAAACCTGCAAATATGAAATATACATGTCATCTATATTTATCTACACCATCCTGGAAAACACGTTTCTATTTTTTTATGGATACTATATGATACTATACATACATATTATATAATATACATCATAACAGCTTCATCCCAGAACCAACCTATTTGGATACATTGGGTGCCTGTCACGTAGCCCCCCAGTTGCAAGTCGGTGTAGTTTCACCCATTCGACTGTAGATTTATCCGACACGCGCAGAAAACAATCTATATGTATTTATATAATATTAAATACATTTTTATATATATATATATTTCAATAACATCGGACGATTATTGGAGGTACAAGCCAATACAAGTTTTTCAACTCACACAAGATGATTACTACAGTCCCTATAACATTCCGATTTATAGATGATAATCCCTTTAGTATCCCTTGGCGCAAATTCATCATAGCATCCCCATGTTCCATCAACCTTTTTCCCATAAAAACGAAAAGAACCATTCGTTCCTGGACATTTTTGCGATCCAATAGGTTTTTCCTAAAATCACCATTCTTAGGCATTGTCTCATAATTTTCTCCTAAAAATCACCATCTTTATATCGACATTTCCCGATAGTTATCCCCTTAAAATCATCTTTCATAGATATGCCCCTATGAAGTTTCGTGGGAGAAGGTTTTTTGTGGGATATGCGTTCGGACCTCACTTTAGGTTACCGGGAGGCCTCAGAAGCGTACCAAAGTGTCATGTTGAAATGGAAGGTGCACAAGAACGCATATCAAGCGTTCCAGCTACTTGTCCTGGCTCAAGCCCTGTACCAAACATAAATATGTATGCTATATGTCATATTGCTCTTCCATTCGATGGGTGAAAACCAGCAAACAGGCAAAAAAAACGGTGGTCGCGACATGAGACCCAAACCCGGCAAATCTTCAGCAATCTAACTTTTCACCAGTCGGATCAGAATGTATGCCAGGCAGAACGCCAGAACTTTTGCCAGGTAAAATTTGCAAAAGATTTGCCAGATAGAACGCCATATTTGATGCCAGATAGAACGCCCGAAGCGACACCAGAAGAAATTACAGATAATAGAATGCCAGAATGTATGCCAGGGTTTATGTGACGGGGGGGTCGGTCGAAGCAAAGAATTGTTTTAAGTCTTTGTTTGTTGTTTTCGGTCTTTCGGCTTTGTTTATTTCTCAATAAGCGTGCGTTTTTTTCTCAATTTGATCACAATCAGAAAATTCTGATCACATCAGAAAATTCACTCAATAAGCATTTTTTTCTCAATTTGATCACAATCAGAAAATTCTGATCACAATCAGAAAATTCTGATCAGAAAATTCAAATCAGCATCAAATTCTTATTGAGTCTGACAATCAGAAGAATTCTGATCACAATCAGAAAATTTTGATCACAATCAGAAAATTCTGATCACAATCAGAAAATTCTGATCACAATCAGAAAATTCTGATCACAATCAGAAAATTCTGATCACAATCAGAAAATTCTGACAGAAAATTCTGATCACAATCAGAAAATTCTGATCACAATCAGAAAATTCTGATCACAATCAGAAAATTCTGATCATAATCAGAACATTCTGATCACAATCAGAAAATTCTGATCACAATCAGAAAATCCCGATCACAATCAGAAAATTCTGATTTGCATTTTTTTTGGGATAACAATCAGAAAATTCTGATCACAATCAAAGAATTCTGATTCTTGATGTTCAAGTTGGAGGCTTAAGGTTCAAAACCTGTAGAATCAGAAATGTTCGGATACAAATGGCCAATAAGCGTTCCAAAGTCACAAGTCACCAAAAACAAACGAACAATGCATCAGAAAAACCACTTGATAGTATAGAAACGCTTATAGCAATGCCACGATCAGAATTTTCTGAAAACCAGCTCGCGCGAAACTCCATACATGCCCCCATGGTTTTCCATAAACATCGGGATTCTTAGACATGCTCCAATGATTTTCTCCAAAAATAACAACATTCTTAGACATTAGACATTAAACAAAATGACAAATAAACATAAAGATCACCATTCTCAGGCATGTTCATGCAATTTCACATACTTTTCCCGTAAAAGTTGGCATTGTTAGATTGGTTCCCGTGTGGTTCCCAGTCGCCCTTTCGCCCTTCGACCAGATCGCCGACCAGCGCTTCAGTGCCAGGAACCACAGGAAGGCGGGAGGATTCTTTTGCCGCTTAGTTGTTCCTCTATTGTTATACCCCTTAACTGGACCCCCTTTAGTTCGCATAGTAATAATACGTAGTAGCAATAGAAAGAACAGCAATAGCATTCACAATAGTATTAATATCCAATAGTGGTAACAATAGACTAATCAGAATAAACATGTTGATGCACCCCATCTTTAATTATGATACATATATATATATGTAAATAAATTAGGCACATGTTTTTTCACTACAATATGCACATGTATGAGTTTCATATGTTCCTATGGTATTGTATAGTGCATATATATATATATTTATACATATACAGAATTTCCTTTCCCGTTCACCTGGCAACCCTTGCCTGCGTGAAGATGCGGGGTGTGGTGGGGGAAATCCTCCGGGAAGTCCTGGCAAAAAAAAATATTCCCCATACACACACGTATATACATATATACATATGTACATATATACATATATACATATATTTACGATATATATATATATTTATATATATATATACATATATATATATGTTTATATATGCAATATGTTTTTGAAATACTACTGACATGTTATGATAAGAATTGTTACAATGCAGCATTTATATATCATGGATTCCAGTACAATCCATGACTGATCATGACTGTTTTCCACAACTGCGTAAACCTTGTTTGTGCAATTCAATACATCAATGGCTAATCAGGTGGCACACATGGTGCAATACAAGGCCCAGCTCAAAAGAAAAACTGCCTTAGTTTGATCAAGATTAGCCTTTATACATGTTTAAATATGTATTAATAAGAAAACAGCCAACATATGTTTAGAATAAAGCGCATATAATTATATATACAGTGTATATATATATATACATATCATCAGATCATATATTATATATATATATCCGAATTTAAATATATATATATATATGTATGTATGTATGTATATATATATATATTTATATTTTCATATACGTATAAGTATTTGTATCCCCAGACGATCCCCACACATTTCAGCCCCTTCAGCCGCCAGGTCGCCGCGTGCGGAAACATGGCGAGCAAGGCCCCACGCAGAGCCTGGCGGCCATCCAGAGTAGCCACTGGGCGTGGATGATCCACGAATTTCGTGTTTCTAAAAAGGAAAAACTGGGGATATTATATGTAATGGATTATGGGATATATATATATATATAGTAATGGGATAATTGAAATTGATAATTGGATCTTATCACGGGATCTTATATATAATGGATTATATATAATGGATTATTAATGGAGATTATAGGTGTGGAAAACAATGCCATAAATCATCCTCCAACTCATCCAAATCACCATTGCTGGTATAAACCATTCCCAAATGGTTTTCTATTGAGATTCTATTGTTTTAAATTGTTTTAACCACATTCGTGTATAAATTACTCACTTTGGGTAGTATATACAGTATAGTGTTTATCCTAAAACTTTAAGTCACTTTGGAAAGTCGAGCGATTTGTCCAGATGACTTTAACTTAGACTCTGTTTTCATGTTTTTTGTAGGATCTAAAGTTGATTTTTGTGGTGATATAAATTCAAACGTGGGGCTTCTATAATGATATTGCCAACATACTTCCACGAACGAACTGGGCGCCAAATCCCAGCAATTCATTGACAAATGGTCCAGTTAGCTCCATGATTTAGCGATTCAACATGGTGATTTTCCATACTGTTAAATGACCAGAGGGTCCGGTCCATGATCCAATTGAAATGACCAAATTGGGCTGACTCTTGGGCTTTAGGTGAGAGGTGGTGTTTGGTGCTGCAGCCCCAGAGCAAGATTCGATGCTCGGCGCCACAAATCCTGCTTTTCTGCTGTTGAGTGGATCGTGTTTTGCTTGACATTCTTCCGGTTTCAGACTTGCCCGTTTTTTAGTTACTTTGGTGCGTTTCCTGTAGACCTAGTGCAGAACCTTTACATGAAACTCTGCAATTCATCATCCAACTTCAACTTCTAGGAACCAGTCAACAAAATGTGCGAAACATCAACCGCACGGCATGGTATTTGAATGACCATGCCATGCCCGGTCTTGTTGGGTCTTTCCAGATTGCATTGATCACTCGGGAATGCCCAAACCTGGGATGGTTCGGCTCCTCCTAAAGATGTGGCCAGGCTGTTGGAGCCTAGCCTTACCTATATATACATATTCCGATCATATACAATAGGAATACCGGAATGCCCAATTGAATATTAGCATGATTTAGTTTTTTACCGGTATTTCAAATATATGTTATAGCTATCGGGAATGTTGTTTTTGGGGTATCCCAATATGTTTTTCCCTCATTGCTATATAACGTGCTAACAGCCACAATGTTTGTAGCTTTGAGCCACCATTGAAGCGTTTTTTTTAAGAATCTAGACTAAGATTAGAATCATTTGTTGATATTTCAATCTTAAACTTCATGAAAATAGCGTTTGGATTGGTCAGTTCTCTAGTTCCAGCCTCAGGACTAGTGATGTCCATCCTGGGATTGATTTGTATCACCTGGGATGTGGTACCTCGGCATGGAGGAATTGATGGGTTTTGTTAGGGTTTCATCCCAGTTGGCTCATAGATTATCATAGTCTCATAGTTCAAAGGGTTGGTTTTCCATAGTTTTTTTCCTTTATATGATTTATATGTGCACTATTTATTCGAACATAACATATGTTTCAATGGCATTGTTCACCACCGGAATCCAGTGTATCATCCACCTACACAAGGAAAATTGACAACCCGAAATGGTGATATGTCCCAGGAATAGTGGTCTGTAGCGGCAGGTAACCCGTATACACACAAACACACACCACACACCACACACCACACACACACACACACACCACACACACACACACATACACACATACACATACATACATACACACATACATACATGCATACATACATACATACATACATAGATACATAGATTACATATATTACATAGATTACATAGATTACATAGATTACATAGATACATACATACATACAAACAAACACGCAAACATGCACCCATACATACATACATACACACATACATACATACATACATACGTGCATACATACATACGTACATACATACATACACCCATACACCCATACACATACATACATACTTACACACAGACATACAGACAGACCTACATACATACAAACATGCGCCCATACATACATACATACATACATTCATACATTCATACATACATACATACATACACGCAAACATGCACCCATACATACATGTGTACATAGGTACATACGTACATACGTACATACATACATACACCCATACACCCATACACCTACATACATCCGTCCATACATACATACATACAGACATACATACATACATAGATACATAGATACATAGTTACGCGCATACACACATACATACATACATACATACACCCACACATACATAAATGCACCCCTGCATACATACATACATACATGCATACATACATGCATACATACGTACATACATACATACACCCATACACCCATACCCCCATATACATACATACAGACAGGCAGACATACAGACATAATACATACATACACCCATACACTCATACACTTATACACATACATACATACATACAGACGGACAGGCATACAGACATACAGACATACAGACATACATAGATACATAGATGCATAGATACATAGATTCATAAAAAAACAAACAATCATACAAACATTTTACATTACATTACAGCATGTTACATCACAATATGTTACATTACATTATGTTACATACATTACATACATTACATACATTGCGTACATTACTTACATTACATACATTACTTACATTACATACATTACATATATTAAATACATTACATACATTACATACATTACATACATTACATGCATTACATACATTACATACATTCTATACATTACTTACATTACTTACATTACTTACATTACATACATTACATACATTACTTACATTACATACATTACATACATTACATACATTACATACATTACATACATTACATACATTGCATACATTACATACATTACATACATTACATACCTTACTTACATTACATACACTACATACATTACTTACATTACATACATTACATACATTACATACATTACATACATTACATACATTACATACATTACATACATTACATACATTACATACATTACATACATTACATACATTACATACATTACATACATTACATACATTACATACATTACATACATTACATACATTACATACATTACATACATTACATACATTACATACATTACATACATTACATACATTACATACATTACATACATTACATACATTACATACATTACATACATTACATACATTACATACATTACATTACATTACATACATTACTTACATTACATACATTACATACATTACATACATTACATACATTACATACATTACTTACATTACATATATTACATACATTACATACATTGCATACATTACTTACATTACATACATTACATACATTACATACATTACTTACATTACATACATTACATACATTACATACATTACATACATTACATACATTACATACATTGCATACATTACTTGCATTACTTATATTACATGCATTACATACATTACTTACATTACATACATTACATACAATACAATACAGTTCAACACAATTCAATACAATACATACATACAGACAGGCATACATATATTATGTATGTGGTTTAACTTCATTCATGAATAGTTCTGTCACCGTGATATTTATCCAGCTCCCAGGTGATGCGCATTTTTTCTCCATGGCCTCCTGGCCTATGTTGATCGGTTCAGGTCTTTATTCCGGTGCAGTCCTTTGACAATTTGTCGGATGTCTTTGAGGAGATGGGACTTGGGCCGGAGTTGGGGAAGGTAAAGATCATGATTTTCACATGAAGGGGGAACCATTTGAGTGACATGTGAAAAATGTGAAAATCATCTGAGTGTCCCTGAAAATGAAAACCTAAATGGGGAAGATAATGATCAAGCATCTCTGAAAACGGGTTATGCATACCCCCAAAAAATCCCACTCCATTATCAGGACCCCCGGGGGTTCGCCAAAACCATTTTTTGGGACAGCCTAAGTGCCTGCAAGGATATGCTCAATGCAGGTTCCTGATTTTGGAGAGGGGACCTTTTGTAGCTGGCTGAAACTGTAGGTTCCTGATTCTGTAGGGGTTTTGGGGTTTGTCAACATTCAAATATACACATTATATTGATTTTGCAGGTTTCCTATTTTGTAGAGAAAAATGGTGGAACATGTGTTTTCGACTTGTTTGAGGGTTTTCTTTATTCGAAGTAGCCATTCTGCTTACATGTGCGCTCATGCCAGGCTCCCCATTTTGTAGAGGCCAGTAATTGTGAAAATCACAAACGTGCACCAAAAAAAGGGGTTGGGCACCCTGATTTTGTAGAGAAGATGCCTTGCTACATTTGTGGCCGGTTCCTGATTCTGTAGAGGTCTGGGGCCCCAAAAGTCAGATTTGGCTCTACAAAATGGGGACACCCAACCCCCCCAGGTCATTTTTTTGGGGATCAGATTATATTGATTTTAGAAAATCTGGAATGTGGAACAGGAATTGCCTCTACAAAATGGATTTTTGTACACTTCAGGGTTTTCAGGTGACACGGGGAGACCAAGGTTCTTTTACATCATCCCTCTACAAAATGGATCTTTGTATTTTTGACGGTTTTCTTTCTTCCAAGTAGCAATTCTGCTTAAATGTTTGCTCATGTCAGATTCCCCACTCTGCAGGGGCCAATATTTCTGAAAATCATAAGAGTGCACCAAAAAACAGGGGTTGGGTGCCCTGATTTTGTAGAGAAAACTTCTAAATTTGTGGCAGGTTCCTCATTCTGTAGAGGTCCGTCAAAACCAATTTTTTTGGACAGCCCAAGTGCCTGCAAGGGTGTGCAATGACAGGTTCCTGATTTTGTAGTGGGAGCATTTTGATGCATGTTGTAGATGGCTGAAACTGTAGGTTCCTCATTCTGTAGAGGTTTTGGGGTTTGTCAACATTCATGAGCACAAATATTGACAAATTATATTGATTTTAATAAAATCGCAAGTTGCTTTTATTTTGCTTCTTGTGATTTGGCATTGGCATGGAGTTTTCTTCACGCTTTTGTTGCATTTTATTGTTCATGTAGTATTATGAATCTCCAGCTGATTGGGAAGAGTAGACCCTTTGCTGGTCCAGAATGGACCTACGCCCGTGCCTACGATGTTGAAATGGCATCACTGGTTTACGGTGCATCTAGGGTTCGGCACGCAATGTCCTGCTACAGACGAGCTGGTGAAGGTGATCCTGGTTTGATGGATGATTTTCTCAAAGATAACCAGACACCTTCTACACTGCGGGCTTGGCCCACGTCTTTGGCATGGAGACGAGCCGAGTTGTACTCACGTGCAACTTACTTCCCTACGTCTGCGGACTTAGCTTCATGGGACCGGGTGTGTGCACCAAGTCCATTGGGGATGTCAAAATCGACGTCTCCAGGTTATTGGATTCGCACGTATGCCCGTGAATTGGGCGTGAATCTGTCATCGAAGAAATCAGATCCGCAAGTCACAGCCTTGGCTGAGAACCGTGCAATTCAGCTTTGGAATCTTGCTCAGTCAGGAGCGGGACGAGATGTTCTACAATCTACGGTTGTTGAACAACCTTGCTACTTTTCCCGACTTCTGTCGAGGAGGGCAATAGCCAAACAGCCCAAAGTGAGAAGTGTTTATGATGCATCTTATGCTTGCAATTTGATTGCTGCTCGTACGTCACTTCCATTGGTGGACTTCATTCGAGGCATGGGATCACCCTACCGAAACAGCTATAGCCGCACGTTTTTCAATAGCTCGGACAGCGCTCCAATCCATTAGACTAGTTTGGAACAGCCGGCTCCCACAAACAACGAAGCTTTATATTTTCCACTCAGTAGTTGTGTCTTCTTTGACCTATGGGTGAACTGTCTGATGCTTGCGCACAAACATTTTAAATTAATCGATGGCTATTACTTTCGACTCCTTCGTAGGGTTTTAGGAATACCAGCTTCCTATATTTCAAGAGTTTCTAACTTTACGGTTTGGCAGAGGGCAGGTAAACCAACCACAGCGTCTCAAATAGTCCTTAAACAACAAACGGAAATTTTACTTGAAGTGTTGGCCACTCCGCCGGACGATCCATATCATCACGTCATTTTTAGCTCAGCCTACAGGGATCGTATTGCTGCAACACAAAAGACAACAAGAGGCCGCCCTTCACAACATTGGCTACACAACATGCTTAGTTTTCTTCAAGAACCCACCAACCTCTACTTTTCTCATCACCCTTCCATTCAAAACCCTATGAGACTCAAACAGTTGCTTCAAAACACACCAAATTTCAAAGGCTTCCTGGTGATGGCGCCAACGCGCGCTTCTAATTTTCCTGTTGCTTTTGGTCATTTACGCGCAAGGCAGGAGTAAAAAAAAATATATTGATTTTACAAAATCTGGAATGTGGAACAGAAATTGCCTCTACAAAATGGATTTTTGTAAATTTCAAAAATTTCAGGTGAGACGCGGAGACCAAGGTTCTTTCACATCAAAATGGATCTTTGTATTTTGAACGGTTTTCTTTCTTCCAAGTAGTAATTCTGCTTAAATGTTTGCTCATGCCAGGCTTCCCATTTTGTAGAGGCCAGTGGTTGTGAAAATCACAAAGGTGCACCAAGTTGGGCACCCTGATTTTGTAGAGAAAACCCCTTGCTAGATTTGTGGCAGGTTCCTCATTCTGTAGAGGTCTGGGGGCCCAAAAGTAAGATTTGGCTCTACAAAATAGGGACACCCAACCCCCCCAGGTCATTTTTTGGGGGTATGGTTATGTTGCCCAATTGGGGGGAAATAATGATCAACCATTCGATGGAATGGGGTGGCCTATCAGACAAACCAATATTGAGGAACAGACGTTGCTGCCATTAAGAACGTGAAGGGGACCATAGATTTAGACATATTTCGGCTACTTAGCTTCAATATATTATATATATATACATATATTATATATAATCATCCTGGAGTAGATAGAATGCGACAATTTCAACCATCTTCAATAAAATGAGATTATTGTTGAAAAATACCGCAAGAGTTCTACTACTACTGCAGGATGATTATATATATATATAATCCTTCGTTGGTCAGAATGATGGTTGTGCCCTACGAAAGGAATGATGGTCCCATGGCATTGGTGACCTGAGCCCAGTGACAGTATGATTGGTAGCATCGCAATGAAACAGCTGTGGGTTTATTAATCCAGGGTTGACATTACCCTCTGGTAATTTAACATAGCTATTGAAAATGGCATTTTAGTGGATTTACCCATTAAGAATGGTGATTTTCCATAGTTATGTTAGTTTACCAGAGGGTATTTAATTACTATATAACTTTTATATCTATATATGCCAACATGATCATGATTAGTGTATATATATATATACATACGCGTGTGTGTTTATTTATGTACGCACTTGTGGTCACTCATGTGCTCGTGCTATAATGTGATATATGCATTTATGCATATATGTATAGTTTCATATGTAGGTATATGTGTATAATTATATTGTTGCATTGCATATGTGTGTATATATATATCGAAACGCATGGATTTGGAAGTGGTCCACTTCCTGCTTCCAGGAAGTGTTGCAGGTGGCCACAGTCTTAGACACTTTGCTGCAGGGAACTGCTGGGAACCGCAAAATCTGTTGGTTTTCTGCTGGTCTATAGCATCCAACCAGGCTAACGGACGGATTTATCAGGGATATACACATATATATATATATATGTATTTGATGGGGTTATAGCCCAAATTTGGAACAGGGTTGCTCGAATCATAGATGAATCACAGCCACAAGGCGGGTCATTTGGGGTGTTGGGAACCAGGAGAGGCCCTTCCTGTCAAACGTGTCAAACGCATCTTGTACGGGTCAGTGAGTTGCCATTTTGCATCATTTTGATGGTGGTATAGTAAGGCAGCCGGCTAATAATATCTTCTATATGATATATCCATACCAGCTAGCAACATCTATACTTATACATAAAAAAGAGAGAGAATATGCTGGATATCCAAATTGGCCATGTAGAAATGCATTAGTTTTTTTAATTCCCCAAACACTGTGTCCATACTGAGAGGTTCTTACGGTAGGTGTTAAGGCCCGGTGTTCAATCGAGGTGGTATCGGAAGCGTTCAGCAATGTCCCTGTAAATTACCGAAAAAAAATCCTCTTGTGACATGTCCATGTGCATTTCCACTGCGCAGGCTCGCACAAAACGATGCCCCGGAGGTGTCCCCGATCGTTTTTCCTGTACATTTCCATACAAAATGGCTGTTGTACTTTGTCCATGAGCATTTCGACTGCGCAGGCTCGCACAAAACGATGTCGCCGGAGGTGTCCTGTAATTTTCCATACCAAATGGCTCTTGTGCAATGTCCGTCTGCATTTCGACTGCGCAGGCTCGCACGAAGTGTGCTTCTCGGTCTTGGGCCCGGTCTTCCTCCTCAACATCCTCCTCCTCCTCCTCCTCATTATCATCATCTTCCTCCTCCTCAACATCAACAGCATCATCTTCCTCTCATCATCTTCCTCATCATCATCATCATCACCATCATCATCATCAGCAGCATCACCATCACCATCACCATCACCATCACCGTCATCATCATCATCATCATCATCATCATCATCATCCTCATCAACCTCATCACCACCATTATCAGCCTCACCATCGCCATTATCATCATCATCACCATCATCATCAACATCACCATCATCATCAGCATCATCATCAACATTAATTACCACCATCATCCACAGTAGTTAACATCATCATCATCATCAACATGATCATGCATTATCCGGTTACTCCCCCCAGACTGTGTGGGGTCGCTTTCCGGGATAATTTACATAATTTAACAAGGATATAAACTGGCTCTCCGGAGCTCCAAGGTTATCTTCTCCGGAGCTCAAATCCTGCACTTGGTCAATTTTTTGTAAATGGCAGTTTGGTGACTTTTGCAACTCGTATGGTTTGGATCAAGGCCCTAAGGCCTGAGAATGTGTGGCAGACCCAATGCCATGAAACCATCCGGTAACGATAAGCCATTCACCAACTCTGACTGGAGCTCATTTTTACATCATCCCACATGTAGGATCTTATAGGGGTATAGGGGTATAGTCAGTAATGATGCACCATCAGTGATGGTTTACTTGCGGGTCTACCCATTAAAGATCATCCCGAATCATCCCCTCGAAAATTCCACCGGAGATTTGTTGTCCATCGCCAGATTGGAATACCAAAAGGTACCTATATTCGAACCTTTCCGAGGCATTGCACATCTACACTTGGCTGTGTTCTTTGAAGTGGGTCACATAATCCAATGCGTTTGTTGCGTTTGTTGCTGGCAGACACAGATAAACACAGATAGACACAGATAGACACAGTCCGGTGATCTATGTAAGCCCACAAACCCGAAACAAATGTTAGCAGATGAATTCCCTGTTAACCAGATCTCGAACAGGGGTTCTTTGATCGCAAAGTTCTTTGAAAAGGTGTAGCGGGTTCTTGGAATGACTGCACCAATCGCTGCGGATTCCATGACATGTAGGTGATTTGTAACTATCGCAACGGCCAGTCTCACCACAAATGGTAGTTAGTCTAGAGGGGAACCTCCCACAAATGTCTAACATGTTTTCAATTTAAGAAAGGTACAGTGTACCTACTGTACCATTGGGAGGATTACCAAACACTAAACTTATATCCATTCATAGTAAGTCATTCGAGGTGATTGATTATCGGTTTTATGACATGAAATGGTTTGATTCATGCTAATTCATAATTTCCAGATTTAGATACTGTAAGACATTCAAAAGGGGCAACCACCCATTTTCAGATTTAAAAAAATTAGAAAAAGTGGTGTCCCGAAAGACCTCCCATTTCACCGCAATGCCAATTGTTCCAGGTCTTTTTCTATTGGGTTATAGACCCTTGGCTTGGGGGACAGGCGACTTGTGGTGAGCCACGGACTAGGATATTTTTTTGGAATCTATAATGCTGGGGGATAAACTTGGGGATGTATGGGATACAATGGTCCATCATGATGATACAATAACATTTTTGGGTGGTGGAAATAGATGGAGAGAGACTCAACAACATTGAAAACTGTCTATGTGTTCTGGAATTGGATGGAGTTGGTTTCAAAGCCTGAGCCTGAGTTCACACCATAGCTATGTGGGAGCTTGGGTTTCAAGCCGTTCCAGGTGCGTGTTTCATTGACCTTTCATTGTGGGAGATTAGATAGCTTCAAACATAGTTAGTTCAGAAATCCCTTCAAAAGATGAGATTCCCTCGCGTGGGCCCCTACTATATGAACGGATTCCACGCTAAGGCAGGACTCTTGAAAATCGCGAAAATACGATGTAGAAATAGTATTTTGTTCTGCGTATGAAAATCAAGTGTGGGTTTCTTAATCTTGGGTTGACATGCCCTCGTGTTTTTGATGTTTTTGATGCTTAAATCACTTGTTGATGCTTCAGCCCAGTGGTTTTTCCTTTTGATAATTTCGGGTGTATGAAATTAGAAGATTTATTGGGATATAAACCAAAGAATTCCTTATTTTAACTTTTAACTTATGTTTGAAGGTTTACATCCCAGACAACACCTCAGGACTTTTTGCTGCAGTTCATCAGTGCTCCAGACAACACCTCCAACGCGGTGGACCTGAAGCCCCTCAGCGCTCCAAAGTCCATGGCTTGGTCCAGAAAAAATGGTGGTTTAACCGTTTAACCACTTAAAATGATCACAGAATTGGGATTTAACGGGTATGAACTGCGGATAAAACATGGGAAGGCATGGATCATATTCCAGGATGGTTTATCCAGACCCAAATGCAAGGATGTGCCTGCATGAAACACAACCTGTGGGCGGTTTGAATATATGTTGGTTCAATCACCAGTGGCGAGGCTGCCAAACATGAAAGTTCTTGGGTCACGGTCATGGTGTTTGTTTCCCAGTTCCATTGTTGCCTTGAATTCTGACATGTGATGTTTAGCGACCCGCGTCAAGCCTCAACCAGAGGCCATCCAATGTGGCTTTGCGCTATGTGAAGGGTTGGATGTTCATGGCTCCTTGGCACGCTATGTTATGATGGGACTAGAAGCCTCGCATTGTGGTCGTGGCGTATCACATATCTATGTGTATTTGTATGTATTTATTTGCATAGATTACGTATATAGATATATACTACTAGATGCATGTGTAGGCACATATGCATTCATATATTGTACTTATCACTTTTTGATCTTTATGCAAATGTGTCAATATTACTATAAATAACTATTCATACCTTCATCATACCTTCAGACTTATCTTCATCCCTTGGTCCATGCCCAACGGGCCAACTGGAAGAGACTCAGGGGGATTTGTTTTGAGGCGAGCACGGCTATTCTGGTGATGCGACCGAATCATACCAAGTAAAGCGGAAGAAGCACTTTTCAGAGCAGCGCCAGTTAATCAGTCAGTAGCTAGTGTATTTAAATGTATATACTTGATCTGTATATATATATATATAGGTAGCCATAGCTACAGGGTACATATCCCACCTGGTAATTATTGATTATTCTGTACAACCATGGGTGCATTGGACCCCGAACTGCCCTCCCCTTTGTAGCACATCACAGGATGTTTCTCTGGCGAGTCTACCAGCCAAGGGTTTGCGGCTAAAGACATGTCAGAAAGTGTTGTTTAGCTACTTAGCCAGTTTAGCTCAAGGATGCGCCTATCACCAGACTCCTTAGTTGCAAGTCCCACCCCAAAGACTTGCTATTGCTAGGCCTGGCGGATTTGGGAGCTATTGGGACAGATTCTGGCGCCAGATATACAGAGAACCCCACAAAGGCCACATGGCCCCAGAGTCCGCTGAGTGCGCTTTGATCTCGGTTAGGGTTCATGATGATTATAGCTCCCTCTGATAAACTAACATAACTATGGAAAATCACAATTTTTAATGGGTAAATCAACTACAAGTGGTCATTTTCAATAGCTGTGTTTGTTTACCCGAGGGCATAGTTATTGCAAGACCTTATGTTTTGGCCGGAAAGTTCGAACGGTGTTCAAACATTATCCCTGGACATGCTCAAATACCTGCCCAGGGCCAGTCTTTTGGTAAGTCGCAGGCGACGAACCCTAAACCCTAAATTCTAAACCCTAAAACCCTAAAGCCTGGAAACTCTGAATCCCAAACCAGAAAACACTGCGTATACACAGTATATTCTGACATCTTTCTTTTATCATGTTCGACAACAGGGCATCCTCAATGTTGCAGTCCGGGCGCACAGGGTCTGTGCGTATAATTAGGTCGGCTAATAAAGCACTTTAATAACAAGGGGGCACCAACTTTGAGTCACAAAGGTGTTATAAAAATACAAAAAAAAACCTGAGGTGCACAACCTGCGCAGATTCTTGGGTGGTCCCTCCAATCCTTAAGGAGTTTCAGCCATGTACTGTCTCATGGGGACATTCCATGAGGATCCATCAAGTAATCCCATCTCCCCAATATGAAACACCTCCTAGATGGTTCCAAATATGTGTAAATTCCTATATGAAAGAAACCATGGTTTCCGGGGGGTGTTTAATATTAGGGGGGATGGGATTGTGAAGGTTCCGTCGTATGGTCGTTCCCTTACATTTTTTGGAATTCCATCAAATGTTCCACGCATCCCATTCTTTTCACATCTCAGGACCCCTGTTCCCCTTCTCCCCGGTTCTGGCCCCCCTCCTTGTCTCCCGAATCAGGCTTGGATATTGGAGACTTGGACCTTTACATATGTCACCTGGGTGGCCAAATATGTTGGGAAAAAAAACCATGAAGTGTAGAAAAAAGGGGCTTTCCATAAATGAAGGTACCCCCAAATGGACGGTTTACAATGGAAAATCCTATTAAAATGGATGATTTGGGGGTATACCATGGTATACCCTCATTTTAGGAAACCTCCATATATCTTTACGAATCCATTGCTGGCAATTTTTGGGTGCAATCGTTATTTTTCGTTAATAAAACCAACACAAAGCTAGAAGAAAATCAGAACAATGGTTCCTCATGTTTTCGTAGATGTTTTTGTTGATTTCGTATGATGTCATCCCGCACTTATTCCCTTTCTGCCTAAAGCATCCTAAAGCCTCAGTGTTCTTGGTTAAATCCACATCTGTGTTGGTCAAAACAGTATTTCTTCCCCATTTTCGTTGGTGAAATCAGTGAAATCTGTGAAATTCACAATTTTCCCAGCCATGCGAACTAAACCTCCATTTAGTTCGGGGATTTCCCAGCCACGTTTAATTGTTGGCTAGTAACTCGGTTAGTCTTATCAACCACGTTCAAAGGGGTGCCTAATGAATTTCAAATATTGAGATTTAAGGGGTGCCTAATGGACACCCCCCAGCGTTCATGGAGATGGCACACTAGAAAATGATAAGTTCCAACCCGAAATCTTCCAATCCTACCCGCGTGGCATTTGTAGTGCACCTGACTTCATTTTTGGCGAGGAGAAATGCATGTTCCCAAGTTTTAAACAAACTAGTCAAAATCAACACAAAATGACACGCGCAGGGGTTACGTTTCTAAGGGGTGCTTATGAACACCCGTTTGCCTTAGGGTTGCTTATTGGACACCCCCTTCCGACCGACACGACACGGCAATGACACGCAATGACACCATTTTTTTCTTGATTTCTAAAAAAAACTCGTGACCCATCGTGACCCCTTTTGACCGACACGACACGGCAATGACACGAAATGACACGCATTTCTGGAAGCAAACGGGGGAAATCAAAGAAAAATGCACATACTACTATGAATACCTCATTCTCTGGTAGTTCAGGACCTTAAAAATTAAGGGATGCCTAATGGACACCCGTGCTAAGGGGTGCTCACCCGTTTGGACATCCTGGAAGCTATATCTCATATTATCCCATTATGTCCCAATTTTATCCTCATTCTTTGGATGATGTTCTTATGTTTTTCCCCATCCGGAGGGTACAAGATGAAGCCAACCAGCTATAAATCCAACGAAACCTTCCATGTTTCTGGGTGAGGTCATTATTGTCCTATGGTTTTCCATGGTGTTCTAAGGTTTTCCTATGGTTTTTCTATGGTTTTCCCTGGCAGGCAGCACTTGGCACTTGATGGTTCCCCAGGCCTTTTCTCGGCCGAAGCCGCTATCGAAGCCCGCTCGGCGACCACGGGGCTGAACTCGGTGCGCTTGATCCGCGTGCTGCGCTTGTTGAGGTCGCGGTCGGTGGGGGGATGGAATGGGATGGATGGGTAATTCCTCTGGTAATATAGTGATTAATAGTGATTAATAGTGGTTGATAGTGGTTGATAGTGGTTGATAGTGGTTGATAATGATAATTAATGGTGATTAGTGGTGATTATATAATGGTAAATGACCAGGTTCGACCCTGAAAATCACCCATGTTTAATGGAAACGAATCTTCCGACCCCGATGACTGGCAGGGTCGAACTGTTAATTTACTGGAGGGTACATATTATGGGACTAAGTAAACTTCATAGCCCTTGTTTTGGCAATGTATAGATGTATTATATGTATTATATCCACAAGTCTTAAGGGGTTGAGTCTTGGGACTTTTTTTCGCTAATGGGATTGATACGTCAGCGATATCAACGGAATATGAAAATGGGATATTATCTATCCAGTGATATGATGATGGTAATACCTTGGGATACTGTTTTTTCATTAAGTCAATGTAATCTGAAATGGCCACCGAATATGACAGTATTGAAATATGATCTATCCAGTGGGTAGGAGGGAGCTATTCGGAGCGAGGGTTATTCACAGCTTCGATGATTTCCTATGATATCGGGAGCTTTTTTGTCCAACTAAGATGAGTTTCCCAACCATCTGATAGTTAGCGGGAATTTACTTGTCCATCGTTTTTAGCTTTTTGGCGGTGCTGTAAATAGAGGGACGTCATGACACCAAGTTGCCATGTGACTCCGGGGCATCCCTCCAGGTTCTTTCGTTCCTTGGCAGTGCGTAAACCGACTGGGGGGGTTCGCAGTAGAAAATGGTGACCATGGTGGCTATACAAGGTTAAACGATTGAATTTTTGAGCAATTTGCCCTTTAAAATCTTGGGCAAACTGGTGGATAGTTTATAAAGTTTAGATAGTAGTTTGCTGTTAAATGGGTGTGTCTGAAAATGCGCTCCAAATTTACTTCGTTCGGAATCATGTTCCCTATTTCCTACAATTTTGTTACTATCCTATCACCATGAATGGCGCGAATCCGGTGCCAAATGGATCGCCACTAGGCTCAGTTGGGTACCTATTGAATTTATCCTTCGGTCCGGAGTCTCCGGTGGATGTTTCAATGTGGAACCATTCAAAGGGCATACAAACCTTATGGTAGACTGCAACACTCCTCTGGGGTGAACATTTTATGTTCTGGTTCGAATGGGCCGCCAACTGATTTCAATGGGAGCTTTAGCAACCCAAACCATGAATTGGATTTGTCCAATGCACCAAGTCCGGTCCTTTTGGCCTTTTGCTTCCGTCCAGACATACAAGTCCAGTTTCATCAAGGGAAGATCATGCTTCGGGACGTCCTTGATACATATCCATCCTCCGGTCCATCACGGGCGATTGGTCAGATGACCAAAATTTACCCTACACACCACGCTGAAGCTGACTCCTTTCTTTAAGACTGGATGGTAACCTGGAAACAAGGTGTACAGGCAATCTTGGAGCCCTACTCACTAGCTAAAGCTAAACCTAGAATAATGATATGTATGTTGCAGAGCGAAGATTGCCCATGGGTTTTTCAACCAACAGACATGGATATGCAATGTATTCATGGGAGGATGATGATCAACCATGGTAGGGTTTTGAGTGCCCCTTTGTTGTGCAAACCCACATTGACATGATGATGGGGACAGCTAAGAGCCAATGAACACGGGGAGTGTATCCAAACAAAATAAACAAATGATATTGTGGAAATCCAATATCTATATCTGGTTGGTGGTTTGGAATATGTTGATTATTTTCCATATATTGGGAATAATCATCCCAACTCACTTTCATATTTTTCAGAGGGGTAGGTCAACCACCAACCAGATATAATGCGTCCTTTTTTTGCAACCAACAAAAGCCTGGCTTTCGGAAATGACAACTGCAACTGCGCTCATCGCATGATATGATTGGCTTAAACATGTGAAAACATGTGCCGTTTTGGTGAGTAAGAGGACTTACATAATTGGGAGAGGTCGCTTCAACTGTGGCGACGGCCTACTCCCGGGCGTTTTCTGGACAGCAGAGCCAAGAGGATGAACCTGAGAAGCGTCGAGGGAGGCAGCGTGTTTGCATCCAAGCTGGCTCCGGAAGAATCTCCAGGAGTTTTTAAGCGCTTTTTTAAACACTTCTCCTCTTCAAACCCATATCCTTCCTCCATGTATGTGATACTGGTTGGTGGTTTGGAACATTTTTTATTTTTCCATATATTGAATGTCATCATCTCAACTGACTTTCATATTTTTCAGAGGGGTAGGTCAACCACCAACCAGGATATGCATCAAGATTTACACCCCAAATCACCAAATCACCATGGATGTTCTCTGGCCACCTGAGGTTTGCTGCGCTTGAGCCGGGTACAAAAGACTTTAGTCTCCATACTGACACGCTTCATTTCGTGTCTTGGCAATAGGGCTGTGAAATGTTGGGAATACACCATACCAGATCATACCCACTAAACAATTTACTGTACATATACATATTGATGATGTAAGATTATGTGGAAACAATGTGCCAATCCGCATCAATGTGCCTTTTAGCCTTGCGCGCAACGAATGCGTCACGTTCCGCCGCTGCAGGGTCTATTTTTGGATGGCCATGCAGATGATGAAGGGCATCATGATCATCCTGGTGATCAATCACTACGTCACGTTTCTTGGAGAATGCCCGCTGTTTGGGATGCTTCGAAAAGGGAGCTCCGTTGGGGCCTTGGTTCGATATGAACAAACAATGGGTGCTTGCGCTGAAGATCTCCTCGTATATATATATATATATATATTTAATTATACACAATATAATCAATATTTATACATATGATACATGATGCATATTAAGTTGAGTAATTTCAATGTGCCCCGTGCCCCCCCGTTATAAGTTGGTTTATAGACCCCATGAACATCCATGTGCCAGTTCGTTACAACTTATAGCACATATTGCTGTGTAACCTAGGAACTATAGTTGCTTAAAACACCATAGTCATGCCGTATATTGCTGTATCATACTTATTACTGGGTATTATAGCTAATATGACAAGATGGCGATGGAGAGAGAGAGAGAGAGAGATAGTATATTTGCTATTTACTGCTTAACTAATAGTTATTATACTAATTGTAATATGGTATATTAGCTGTATATTGTATTTTACTGGGTATCATAATTATTACATTACCCTTACCCAGATTTACCCTGCCAGGGCTGATAGATTCGATGAGTTATTCGATGAGTTTCCACGCGGCCCAGGATTGGATGGCTTGTTCTAGGTGCCTTGGACGGTGGCATAGCAACAAGCTGATTTACCTATGAAAATGGTGGTTTAATGGGATTTAATGGGATTTAATGGGATATACCCTCTGGTTATTTAACATAGCCATAGGAAATGGCCCATTTATAGATGGTTTACCTATGAAAAATGGGTGGATTTTCCATGGCATCATGGCAAACTGTTAGTCATAACCAGATGGTATATCGATAGATTGATATCTGGTTGGTGGTTTGGAACATGGCTTCTATTTTTCCATATATTGGGAATGTCACCATCCCAACTGACGAAGTCATATTTTTCAGAGGGGTAGGCCAACCACCAACCAGGATAGATAGATACTGTGGATAGATAGATTGATAGCTAGATATCGGAGATAGATAGATGGATAGATGGATAGATAAGATAAAGTATGATTTGCCATTGATATAAACATGCTGAATTTCCAATATTTCCCATAGTTCTGCTCAATTACCAGAGGGTAAAGCAGAATATAATCCAATACCTGGAAGATGTATCATGGGTACAGCTATGGGACATATTTAAGGACCTAATGGGATATCTATATATAACTACATATGTATTAACATGGTGTGCCCCGAGAAATGGCCATTGAATAGGAGTGAAACATCATGATCCACAGAAGGTGTGGGATGCCCCGATCATTCAAGATCTGGGGTAGCAAGGATGTTAAAAATAAATAGAAATAGCAAGATAGTTGGGTTATCATACTTGCTCATGAGCCAATATCCACGTATATCCACTGAATCCCAAAATGCCATCATTTTTTCCGCAGGGGCCTAGTGCTGGACTGCAATGATCAGGGTTGTCATCCATAGATGATCCGCGGCTGAGAATGTGATGCCCCGATGCGTGGCTATGTTGATTTACATGTAATAAGATTATAACATATTATAACTATAATATGGTGTATATTAGAATATGATGTTTATATGATTAAATATGGTGTATAATATTATAACTATAATGTTTATGACGGTCTAGGGTAGAATATGGTGTTTGTGTGTGTATATATATATATTCTATAGAATATATCATGGGTGCAGCCCCTTAGACCCCGAGTCATCTAAGGTGTCTACTACCCCGGCCGCACCTGGCTCTCCGACTTTCAGCTTCAAGAGGTCGACTTCTCCGAACAGCGACCTGGTACGGTATAATTAGTGCTGATGATTAGTTGATGAAAAAGTTGTTGTGGTTGAATTTATGATCATATATAATTTGATATTTATTACAATATATGATCATATGATATAATTAGATATGTTGGTTGTTGAGATATGGTAGTACATTGTAACCAGCCCGAGAGACTTGAACACATCTCCGGAGAAAATTTGTTTGATGATGAATGAACCACCCAAAGCTACCTGGATCACTCTTTGGAAGTCTAAGGTGGAACAGTTTAAAGAACAGACTATTGTACTTTGATGACTTACTTGTAGATGTTTTATGTTTTAGGCTAGGATGTGGCTGTTCTAAATCTGAGTTGGATTTGGACGCCACAGATGTCGAGGACCTTAGGACCCACTGTCAAATCACGTCAAATCGAGGCCAGAAGCCTGGAACTCAATGGAAAATAATCCCAAGATAGTTCTGTGATATATATATATATATTTTTGTTACCAGTGAGAAACAAAATGCTACAAGTCTCTCGCAAACAATGCATATGTATATATGTATATATTTAATTATATATATATATATAGACGTATAAATGACGTATAGATCAATTTGGCTATCCTTGAACCTTGCCATGTTTGATTTTACTTAGTTTTGTGATGTTTTGTGCGGATTTCGGGCTGTGCAGCCGAAGCGCTCAGATACGTTTATGCCTTCCATTGGGCAATCGCGCAGCTCCTTGGTGGAGTTGAGTGCGTGAACTGCCATGCGTCCAGGCATCCCTTTCAATGACTGGTTAAATAGATGGGTTTTCTGAAAAAATGCAGCAATTTTTGAGGAAAACGATGGAAAACACTGACATGTTGATGGTTGATCATCAGGTTGTGACAAAAAAAAATGTGATTTGTTGGTTATCCCGGTATCCCAATATCTAGCAAAACCAAATGTAACTGATCAATCAATGATTAGTGTTACAATGTTGAGGTTCCTGCTGGTTTACGACTCCAAACTCTTGAGCAACTTGCAAGACTGTGATGTATATACAGTTGAATGGATGAAACCAAACCAAGAAACATCTGGGGGGGCACACTGCACGACCCAAATCGACCCGATCGTAAATGAGATAATAACCGAGGTTGGGGGGACGTAGGGGCAGTTCAGGATCATCAAAGCTGACGATGGGGGGAATTCCCAAGTTTTATAC